ATAAGTCTATACTAAATGAAATTAAAATTAAAAAAGAAGATGTTTATAATTCATTTCTTTCATATATACATTTACAAGATTTCATGCTATTGCATGCATTAAATTATAAATTGTTTTAAAAATGTGTCCTCATGTAGCTCTCAGTAATAGCACCATTTTTACAAAAATGTAATACAAATTTTGAAAATTATTTAAGGGAATAATTAAGATATATCTATGTCGCACATGCGTATTTTTATGAGCAATAATATAATAATGATCTTTACCATTTTTGTGATAGTTGAATCGTGCCAATTTTATTTTTATGAAGAATGTATTGATCACATATAATGATAACATTTAGCACATCACAATAGCAAAACAATTTTACGAACAAATAAATAACAAATATACATTAATATTTGACATTCACATAGAAGCATAAGAAGTTTTATAAATATGTATAATCAATATTTCACCTATGAATAGTTAAATAAAAAATAATTGAATGATAAATAAAATATAAATTATATATAATATATTTATTCAAAAAAAGAAATCTAATATATTCTAATTTATACTTTGATTCATTTATATATATATATATATATATAAAAAAAAAAAAAAAAAAAAGGTAGAATAATTGACATATATTGTCATGCACATACATCATGCTATTACCTGTATCATTTTTCATTAAATGTGCTTAAACTGATAGTAAATATATATATATATATATATATATATATATATATATATATATATATATATTTATATATTCTTAAAAATCAACATAAAAGATAGTAATTGTTGTTACTTGAGTAAAATTTAATCTTAAATTATAACTGATATATTTTATAACTTCTCAATTATTTTTTCATTAAATGAAACGAATAATATTTAATAAATTACTTACAGTTCTATCCACAGGTGGTATATTTGGAAATATTACATCCCGAAGTTCATGCATAAGATCTATATTTATACGTTCTGGTGGTGATTCTGACTCATCAGGAGAACTTGGACTTAATGGTGAGTATTGTTTTCTGTTAGGATAAATAAAGCACACATTTCTGATACAACAAAAATATAATATAATATCTTTTCAAAACATTACATATTTTTATCATAATTATTTATCTATTAACGATATCATATTAATGAAAAAATAGATCTTTTACCTTGGATCTGTAAAATTGCTATTGCGTAAACGTAATTCCTTTCGATAACTAGTCGTAGCAGTAAATCCATTGGGAGATTTAGGTGGTGCCGTAAATCCGATAGGATTTCTATCTAGAGTAGGCGAACTGGGTGCAGATCTTGGTTGATGAAATCTCATACTATTTTCACTTCTATTTGATCGTCCTATATTAAAATATTTAAAAATAATTATTTATTAATAATATAGATAAAGATATATATGACTCTAAGCCATCATTTATACGAATGAAATAAGAAATAAATAACTCACCCTTCCATTTCAATCCTTTGTATGCTGTCTTCATATCCTTCCCTCTATCTTTAACCTGTAATTAATTATTATAAAAGTATATTTTGCTTTGTCTATATTTCGCTCTAATTAAAGAAAAAAAAAAAAAAAAGAAATTATTTTCTCTACTACTACTATCATTAAATATATTTTGGTGTAAAGATTCTTTGAACTTACAGATTTAACTGCATATTTTACTGCTGGATTTGCCTACGATTAATTAAGTAAATTTTATTGGAACTTTTACTTATCAATTAATACATAGTACAATAACGAAAAAGAAGTTATAAAATTGTGTTTTTTAAATGACTCACTTTATCCTTCACGCTCCGGAAAAATGCTGAACTTTCTTTCCGCATAGCATAAGTCCATTCTCTATATTGTTGCATAAATTTATTGCTAGATTTGACTGAATAACTGCATGCTTCCATCTCAAATTCATCTGAGAAGCCAAGTCCAGAATTGAGCATATTTAATCTTTCTTCTATAAACTAAAATATATATATTTGATTTTATCAATACTGATATCTTTATAATACATAAAGTAATTAAAAAAAAAATATATATATATATATATACATTATAAAAAATATATTTTTTGTTCCTTAATCAATACCTTGTCATACAGTTAATACATCAAAATATGCAAATAATTTTGAAAAGTGTTATGATCCAGCATTTGCAAATTTGTTAGTAAAAAACTTACAAGTTACACATACTTGTTGAAAGATTTGAAGTTCTAACATTTTTCGTAGAAAAGGTTGCATAGAAGATGGTCTACTTTCTACAAATGCATTTTGATCAAATGTTATACGTTCTCCTTGTTGCAAAGTTAATGCTTCTCTATATCCTGCAGTCAGTTGTACTAATGCTCGTAAAAATGCCCTAGACACTCCATCCCCAAGTAAGGCAGGTCTATTGCGTAATGCCTTTTTTAAATTTGTTACCTGGAATAAAAAAACTTTTTATTTATTTTTAAAAATGAACTATAATTCCTGTGAATACATTCATTATTCAAGATACATAAATAAATATGTATACACACTACATCTTGAGGTAAAGATTCCAAATCTTGAAAAGGAGACTCAATGGTATTGTTATCAGCATCTAAAATAACTACTTCACCTAAATCACTTTTGTGAACTCTCTGGAAAAAAAATTATCAAAGATTTTTATTAAAGTCTTTTTCAATATAAAATTAATGTAACAAAGTAATAGTTACCTGAAGTGTTGGAGCAGGTACACCTATCAGAAATGGCATTGGTGCTAATAAATAATCCATTAAAGATAATGGAAGTACTGGGATATATATATGCTGCCAAATCATTGGATAAATTAAAGCATTGCATGCTTGTACACATGCACTTAACCTTGACAAACGTTTAGAAGTAAAAATAATGCGTCGTTCATATAGCATAGATGCGAATACTACCATCATATTATGAGCATCAACAGCACTGTAATATTCTGTCAAATTTCTCTGTAAATATATAAAATTATGTGGCTTCTTCGTTATATATTAGTATATCTATTATCTAGATATATTTTTAATATTTTTCTAATTTACATTAATAAAATAATTGCTCACATTTTCTGGAATACTGGGTAATTGAAATTGCTTAGGACTTTGGCAAACAAAATTCTGAAAATAAATGTATAATATTTTTAAATTGTTTTTTTTTTATAATTTTTAATATTTTGTATGAAATATAAATTCAAAATCATCAATAATTAATTTGCAATTTATAAATTTGTATAACTTACAGAATTAAGACTTGGTATTGGTATAGATATTGAATTTCCAGGTGTTGGAACACCACAGCTGTGTACCTTCTCAAGAAATTTCCAAAGATCTTCTCCACTTCCATTATTTGTTAAAGATGCAATATGATTCAATAATCTAAATATATAAAAACATATTATTTAAAAAAAATATAAATATTAAATAAGGCTACATATTACAAAATAACACATATAATACTTATATATATTTTTTTTTTCTAAATATGAAATACTAACTTATAAAATGTTTCATGCCATGGTAATGCACTCAAGACCACTAATGCGGTCTCTGTTTTTGGATCATGCCGACAAAAACCAAAGGTCCATTTTGAATCTATACTAGTAAGCACAAATGAGAAGTGCTGTACCAGTAAACTAAGAACAATAACAGTTAACATTGAGAATCAATATTATTATATTACAATTTAAAAAAAAATATATTTTCCAATAATCGATATGTAAACACACGCATAGATAAAAACAAAAAAAAATATATATATACATATACATTACTTTTCTATCTCACAAGGATACGCAAATTTAGGGACTGATTTCAAGATCTCTTCATCTGAAAAAGAACTTGGATATTTTTGAAGAATCCAAGCTTGTTTGTTGCTAACTGGTGCAGCAATTTCACAAAAACATTCAAATAGCTGCTTAACATCCTCCCTGAAAACATGAATGTTATATATAATGTAACGTTAAGATATAAAAAAAAAGATGACTGAATAATACATATAAATAAATATTGAACAAAGTATAGCTATTTAATTCTTTTCTGTTTTGTTCATCTTCATTTTAATTCGAATCAAACTTAAATATATATTTTATAAAGCATAAAATATTTTTTATGAAAAAAATCTTGTTAAAATTATATTACTACTTAGTTAACAAATATTTTTATTATATCGATCAATCGACTTGATCTACATTTTAAATGCATATATATATATATAAAAAAAAAAATAAAAAAAAAAACTAAAGTATTAGTTAAACAATTGTGATATCAATAGATTTATTTCCACCATCTGTCTGTAGAATATCTAAAATAATGATACTATTTATCTATTTAGAAATAAAATTTAAACTTCATACTCTGTGTAATTTTATATATATATATACACACACATACGCACACACACACACATATATATATAAAAGTAAGAATAATATACATTTTCTAGTTAGATTCTAATACAAACATACAGAAAGTATTAACGATCTTAACTTACAGATAAAAAAAATATTTATTATATACTTGTGTATACACTATTATAAATGATAGATTCTTATCTATGATACTATATACTAATAATAGAATATAATGTAAATAATAAAAATCTTAGAATTACCTTAATCTGGATCCCATGATAATAGTTAAAAAAAAATAAGTACTTTGTATATTCCTGACGTTTATACGTCATTGTACTACATGACAGTAATATATTCCATTCACGTGAACTTTTTATCACTATCACGAACGCAGCTCACTATCAGCTTGTCACTATTTACACAGATACTTTTTTGATTAATCATAAGTTGTGTTGAAACTTGAACTATATGTGCGGAATATATGCTGTCTCAAATACGTAAAACTTTCAAATATCAAATAATCTTAGAAATAATTTTGAAAATTCAATGGATTATAATTTTACTTTTCATTTTTTTTTTTTTTCTTTTCTTTTTTTCCCTTTAGTGGTAAAATACAGAAGAGAAGGGAACTACTACGAATATGCTGCGAGTTCCTACACAGCTGCTCTGCAGATTTTTAATATACTATACATAAAAAGAATATGTGACGAAAGTTCAATGTGCGCAAGTAGAACATTAGCTATAGGATGCGTCATCTATCTAAACCAATGAAAAGAACGTGTAAGAATAATTTTCACTTCTCCATTGATGCATTTAATTCAATTTCATTTATAATTTTATTTTCACTTAGAAAGATAATTACATTTCGAAAAAAGTATTATTTAAATGTTAAACGTTAAAAATAATTCTTTTTATTTATATTATATACTTACGAGCAAATACAACAAGGCTATAAATCTTCGACCAATCATAATTATCGATAAATCTCTCATGAAGATACGATGCACGAAATAACGTAAATTTAAAATAAGATAATGTCATTCAGTTATTTGAGTTATAATTGTTATCATATATTTTATTTTGTAATTCGAAAATTGTTCTTCTTTTTTAATGAATTTCTTAGTTTTTTCCTAACAGAGTGCGTTTCATGTCATTTTATTCTCTAAATACAACGAAATCTTGATACATCGCTATCTATATTTTTTATTTTATGGTTTTAGGTAGTTTTGGTCGTTTGCCATACAGTTTAACCTGCTCGTAATAATCAACTTTAACTGCCCGTACAAATATTTACGAAATAAATTAAAAATATTATATATTCATAATGGTAATTAAATATATTTTATATTATGATAATCATTATTGCAAATATATTCTTGATTAATTTAATATATTCAAATATATACAAATATTTTTCATATTTCTTTATGAACATCTTTTTTATGCAGGAAAAAAAAATAATCTTTATAAAAATATCATTACCATATATATATTTATAACAATATTTTGTAGTATTTTAAATATATACTTGAATTGTTTATTTTTTAGGGTAACGAAAGTTCGCTGCCTATGGAATTGTGCTCAAACTGTAAGTTAGTGATATTGCTTTAATTTTAATATTAATATCATTTCTGATGACTGATATCTTGCTTTTACAGTTTTTGATAAACTGAAGCTTTCATTGTTATTATGATATATTTTTCTTTATCTCATTAAATATTAAATTGTTTAGAAATGATTAGCATCATTGTAAACATTAATATGAATGACATATAGTGCAAATATAAATGCAGATATGACACATTTATCTTGAAATCTTATATATATTTAATTATAATTCCATAGATATTTATATAGAGTATATAAATTAATTTTAATATAATAGATAAAAATTTAATTGATGATATTCTTATTAAATATGCTTGATGACTTAGTTGATGCGGATGAAATTAAAAGATTGGGAAAACGTTTTCGGAAGCTAGATTTGGACAACAGTGGTTCGCTTAGTATTGATGAGTTCATGTCCTTACCTGAGTTACAACAAAATCCTTTAGTTCAACGTGTCATTGATATTTTTGATGCAGATGGCAATGGTGAAGTAGATTTTAAAGAATTTATTCATGGTGTTTCACAGTTTAGTGTTAAGGTTAGCATTTGATAAATTTATCTAATAAAAGGCATTGATTATGTATAATTTATTTTCTGATATGACCTTGGGTGTATATATATATATATATATACACACACACAATTCTACAGGGTGACAAAGAAAGTAAACTAAAATTTGCATTCAGAATCTATGACATGGATAAAGATGGCTTTATAAGTAATGGAGAATTGTTTCAAGTATTAAAAATGATGGTAGGAAATAATTTAAAAGACACACAATTACAGCAAATTGTTGACAAAACTATATTATTTGCTGATAAAGATGAAGATGGTAAAATAAGCTTTGAAGAATTTTGTTCGGTGAGTAATTACATGTTGTAAACATGTCAGCATTGTTTATTCATATTGCCAATAAAATTATTTTTCTAGGTTGTCGGTCATACAGACATTCACAAAAAGATGGTTGTGGATGTTTAAATACAAAAAAAAAAAGGAAAAGAAAAGAAAATATAAAATAACTTTATGTGGTAATTCCTGCTTGATTCCATAAATTCACTTATTAATAACAAATTTATTGGATAGTTGTAATTAACTAAGATCTGTCTAGGATTAATTTACATGAACATTAAAAATAAGTTTTCAATGATTCTAAATTAACTTACATGCAATTTTATTGTTGCTATGATCTTTTCCATGATGCAATATGTATACATATTAAATAGATCATTACACGATTAATTTTTAAGAGTTATGCACATTATTACGTGCAATAAAAATTTTGTGGTCCGAGTTAATATTTTGTTATTCATATTTTATTTATTTATAATTTTTATTTATTTGGTACCAAAAATAATACAGTACCATCATAATAATCATAAAGATTATTTATATCCTATTATAACTTATGCTTTTATTTAATTAGCATTACTTCTTCCTGATAATAACAGCTTTTTTATATCTAAATATACTTATATCATTAATGTTAATTGTTCTTCCATTGTGAGATGTAATTGAAGTGTTGGATATCCATGTAATTTTGTAGAATCTTTCACTACTTATTACAGAGAGGTGTTTCGAATTCGACATAATTTAATCTTCAACAAAGTGTATTCTACTACATTTAAAAAGTATCACATTGTAAGGAACAAAAGAAATTGTACTTCAAGTTTATATAAGTTATTCATTAAATTGCAACAATAGAGGAATATTGTGTGTTTGAAAGAGACATAGACAATGTTTTGAATCATTGTAGAGAAAGATCATAGTAATTGTGAACCATAGATGTGATCCATATGCGTCAAGACTGAAATATGAATGGGACCTCTATGACTTTCGAACGCGCAATCATAGGATTATTTTTGTTCACTAAGTGAGTACTTAAAGAATAACTTATAACACAAAATTATAAATATTATAAATAACAATGTTATATCGTTATAAACATTTATATACACACACACACGCATATATATATATATATATGATCTTATTGATCATATATATATATGATCAAAAAATTTTAAATGATCTTATTGAATCACAAAAATATCAGATCGAATCTCTGTGTTACTAAAACATTGCGTCATATGTGATTGTAGATGATATGTACTATATTTATATATCTATATGTTGTGCACTTTTACTAATATATGATGTATTGATCTTTTATTGCTATTGAATATATTGTCAAAACTTATATTAAGAATATTTCAATAAAGTGTACAAAATCTTTTATCCTGATTATATCAACTGAGAATATAAATCAGTATATAATTCAATAACAATACTGTGATAAGAGAAATTTTTAAATCGATAAAATCTACAATATAAATAACATGCGTGAAAATGTTTTAAATATAAAAATGTTTCACTTTCAATTAATTCGTGTATATAATCATACATGTTCAAAAATAAAATGGTTTATGCTTCTATTAAAAATAGATTGATTATGTGAGGATAATAGAACGTACATTTTGCGCGTAATATAAATTATTGATTTTATTAAAATAGATATGAAAAATTAATCGCAGAATTCTTTAAACATTAATTCTCTAAATATTAAATAAATTCCATTTGTAAGATGTTTTCAAACAAAGAATTAAAAAGGGATAATCAATTTTATTCTTAAATTATACATCGTACAGATATTGAATTATTGAAGCAAAAGATTTAAATTATAAATAATTAAAAAAATAATCGAGCTCATACGCGCTATTAAATATTTTTAAAACTCTTCATTCACCTATAAAAAATATCCAATCAGTATTCGTAATCACGATTACGTAATCATTTTTGATAAATCATTGAAATATTTGCTTATAGGAGATGCTAGTAATATTATATTGTTAGTAAGTTGGTATTCCTGTAACTACTCCGTCCTCCCCTTCATTGTTGCTGTTTTGCACCCGGTGTGTTTGCGTTTTTCGTTGTTTCTCGTAAGAAGTTTCACAGAAGGTTTTCGGAAGTAACTCACGCAAATCCTTGATTTCGATTGTTGGTTGAACGGAGGAGGTGGAGGGGTGTTGTAGGCGAGGAAGATGGAAAATTTGGAGGAGGTATTACAGGCTCTCGACGAATTTCAGAAAATGCGACCAACTGAGATACCGCGAGAATTGGAAGATTATCTTTGTTGGGTTGCCAAAACAGGTGATCCGGTTTATCAGTGGTCAATGATAAAAACACTTTTTAGAGAAAAACTTACTCGCGTAATGACAGATTTCTACGAGAGCTGTCCGACTTTGGAACTTGCACCCTGTCCCAATGTTGAACATTTTAATTATGACACGATGAAAAGCAATCTTCTGGAACGACTAGAATCGTTTGCTAATGCACCATTTACCGTTCAACGAATCTGTGAGCTTTTAACTGCACCACGGAAAGAATATAATCGTGTAGACAAGTTCATGCGTGCTATTGAGAAAAACATATTGGTAGTATCAACAAGAGAACCTGGTCCAATAGCAAGACGCAGTGAAAATGGGGACAGTATGGTCAATGGCTCTGTAGATGAATCTGCACCTGTATGTATAACACTACCACCGCAAGATGTTGAAATGGAATATTGGGAAAAAGGTTGTAGTTCTACGGTAACCATTACTGTAAATACTGTGGAAAAGGATGAATCTTTATTGCATACTGTTATACCATCTGTAACAGTAGTAAAAAGTGTATTTGGAACGGATGAAAATCAAGAAAAAAATGGTTTATCCTCATCCAGATCAGAGGGTGCAGTGTCTAACTTCATTGAAGCTTCCTCAGAATTTTCAACTGTCACAAATATAACCCTTGAAGTTCAACCACAGGATTCAACAACTGGTCCAGGTATGCGAAACGTATCTATAATAACTCCTGAAACATCAGGTATTGTCAATGATGTACCAGAGGCTATTATGAACGAAGATACAAGTTCACAACCAAGTTTAGATTTAGAAGGTGAGGATAGTGATATCACAGATTCTACAAAAAAATTACAAACAACTTTTCAAGCTAAGGACTTTTCATTGGGTGACTCGAAAATACCCAAATTTTGTTTAGATGATCCTAAGGTGAAAGAAAAAATAGACAGTGGTACATTGGTCATGGATGCGGAGGATGAACCAACAAATTCAATGACAACAACTGAAGAATTAAAAACAAGCTCAGAATTGAAGACAATTATAACTACTGATAATACTACAGTTTCAAACACGGCAGAAGAAAATATTTTAAAAACAGATATTGATAAAGTGGATGAGGAATTAAATTCAGAGTCTGATATTCCGGATGCACAAGAAAATGTTCAAGGAAATATACAAAGCATAGATGGTAGAAGAGTATTAACTTTAGAAAATAAAAGTATTGAGAATTCTTGTTCTATGACTAATTCGGAAGACATAAGATGTACATCTATAAAGTCTTATGAATTGGAGACAGATGTTGCAGCCTCGTCTGAAGAATGTACAAGTACCACATTATTAACAAACAATGCTATGGTTTCAGGAATATTACAAAACATGGAAGATTCTAAAGAAATCTCAATGGATACTTCTAATAATGAAACTTTAGATACTGAACATGCAAAACAAAATACTGAAGCTACGGAATTAACGACAGAAGATGTAAAACCTGTGATAGAAGATCCAGATTCCAAAGGCAGCGATGTCACAGAGAATATTAATAATTCGAATTCTGACAAAAGTGGTGTTACAATAGTGGAAACTTTAGAAGATGAAAGCAAAGTTATGAAATCCATAGTACCTGATCCAATTCCTATAATAGAAGAACCTAAAGATCCTGAACCTAATATAAGAAAAGTAGATGATGCTTCAGCACCTGTGGAAATAATAGAAGAAGTGAAAAATGATACATCAAATATTAATTGTCAATCAACAATTAAGGAAAAATTTATTTCTATTAAGAATCATGATTTAGGAGACATTGAAGGTAATAAGACAAAAACTACTTGTAAAATAAAAGAAAATGACTCTTTGGTAGTAGATAGTACTGTGTGTAAAAATGAATGTGGTTCAATGGAATTGATGGATGTAGACGATGATGAATCATTATCAATATTTCAAGGTGAACCAATGGAGCAGGAAACAATAGAGCTAGCCAAAAGTTAATGTAGACTGTATAAAATAAATATTGGTTTTTTTCACAAATCATTTCTATTTTAACTACAACCATTAAAGCAGAAATTTATGCGAGAAATAAACGTGCGCACGAAAAAAAAAAAAAATATTACAGTATCCTTAGTAGTAATAGTATTATTTCTAATCTATCATTACTTCTCAAAAAATTCTGTTGAACTTTTTAACAGTATATTATTTTTCAATACTTTATTTTTGGATATATTCATTAAACATATATGCTGCTTTATTAATTGTAATTGTGATATATTTGATCACATTCTGATATTTACGCAAGAGTATAAAAATTGATTTGAAAATTGAAAATAACATAACACTGCCTTTTCTTGAAATATTATAATATTAAAAGTTTGTTTTATGATCAGGGATTGGTACACATTTCAATGCACTTTGTAAAAATTTCAATGTAGATTTATATAAATACTGTTGATACATATTTGCTTAGGTTAGGGTCGTATTTTTGTTCTAATATGTATGACTGTTGTAATACAAAAATAAAGGCTTATTAATAGTTCCAGTTTCTACTAAAATAGCAGGTAACGAATATGTATGTTTATTTATATGAGCCAATTGTGATTGAGTCATACAATTAGTTAAAAATATGACTGTAGCCTTTATAAGATCTTTTTAATACAAGCCTTGATCGTAAAAACGGCTTCAAGGTTGTCTTATACAGAGAAATACATAGAATTTTTCAAAATAACGATATTTCGAAGTATTTAATTCACATTAATTTGGAAAACTATCCAACAATTCCATTGTAAGACCAACTTTGGTAAAGGTTGACTGAGATACAAATATTTGAATTATAACAACTATAATTGATGGTCAGAATGGATTCCAATATGACTTTTGATTATCATCAATGAATGAATGTCTCTATTATGCGTGTTTGCTACAAGAGAAAAAGTATAGCAAGGACAAACATTATTTCTTGTAACTAGAAAGATAGCATTGCTCTCTCCATGCCTTGCTATGCTTTTTTTTTTATAAAGGAAAAATGGGTTAAAATATTCATATAAGGATATAGCTAACTTTGAAAGTATATATATATATAAGTTCAGTACATATATACCGATGTAACCAAATATGTTTGAATGACATATATGTATACTGAACTTTGACTGGAAACAAGAGGTAATAAAAAAAAAAAAAAAAAAGAAAAAAAAAGAAAAAAAAATAAAATAAAATAACAAGATGATAAATTATACAGTAATTATATCGTACTATGGCATATTAATTTAAAGGTTATATAGAGTAATATTATTATAAGAACATGAATAACTTAAATTAGCTGTGTATATTGTTTTATAGCAAAATACATGAGGATTATTACCAAAATGGAATTATTTATAACATCTGCCTTATAGATTAAAGACAAATTAAAACCAGTCTATGTTTTTATCAAAATGACTTCAACCATATTGTTCTGTATAATACTACAACAGCAAATTTTCAACTACATGCATTATATTTAAGGCTTGGGTACCATCAAGAATTTTAGACATATAGATCATTGTACGTAAGAAGAAATAATACACGGTATTATACATCTTTACATTGATTTCATGATTCATTCTTACATCCCTCTCCTGTAAACTAAATTTAAAAAAAAACATAGAATATGTACCACTTTATTATATTACAGTATTTCATCCTTTATTGTTAATGTTTATTATTATGTAAAATATAATTCATGTAAGATTTTTATAGGAAGTTTATATTATTTAACATCCGATGTGGATAAAAGTAAATAACATATTTTTCTTAGATTCATATTTTCTTCTGAATAAAAATAAACAAACAGCCATCATTTAATTTATAAATGTATATATTTTGTTTTATTATTATTAATATTATTATTATTATCGTCAGTTTTATTATGAGACAGTTAAATAATAATATATTAAATATACACAAATGTACAGTATGTGCAAAAAATTACTTTTAAAATCTACATGTCAATCTAATTTAATTTAATTTATGTGAAGGCTTGATGTTTCACCAAGTTTTTAAAATAACCCTGATCCAAGCTTATTAAATCGTTATATGTTCCTGTCTCTACAACTTTTCCTTGGTCTATCACTACAATTTTATCAGCATTTTTTATTGTACTGAGTCTATGAGCTATAGTGAGTACTGTTTTTCCATGAGTAGCACGTTCTAATGCTTTTTGAACAAAATGTTCACTTTCAGCATCTAATGCACTAGTTGCTTCATCCAAAATTAAAATTGTTGGTTTCTGAACGAATATAAACAAAATATTATTTTAGATTATATATAATATATTCATGCATAGTTTTACGATAGTTTAAAATGTTTATACCTTCACTAAAGCTCTTGCAATAGCAATTCTCTGCCTTTGACCTCCACTAAGTGTAATACCTTTTTCTCCAATGACAGTATTTAAACCGTCCTTCATTTTCCGTGTAAATTCTAAGACATATGCTTCTTTTGCAATTTCTTCTATTTCATGTTCCATTAAATTTTCTGTACCATACATAATATTTTCTTTTATAGTACCACTAAAGAGAATTGATTCTTGAGGAACTATACCAATCTGTGATTTTACCCAAATTGAATCAAGCTCTTTGATATCATAATCATCCAATAATATTCTTCCTGTATATGGATCATAAAGTCTTAGTAATAACATAGCTATTGTAGATTTTCCAGAGCCGGATGAGCCAACAATAGCAGTTATTGAATGTTTCGGTATATGTAAATTGAAATCATGAAGAATAAGTGAATTTTCCCTTGTAGGATAAAAGAAGTTTACATTTTGAAACACAATATCACCCGTCAATTTGTTCTCCAATATTTTACCACCTTGAATAGGTATGTTTGGTTTTCTGTCAATTAATTCAAATAAACGTGAACTTGCACCCAAAGCTTTGTTCAATTCACTGTAAAATGAAGATAATCCACTCAGTGATATTCCTACATATGCCGCATACAATAAAAAAGCACTTAAATCTCCAATCGTTATAGTTGAATCAGATACCATAACTCCACCATAATACAGAACAGATAATACAATTACATTTCCAGATAAACCTGTTATACCAAAAAATATCCCTCTATATAAACTTTCTTTATAACATAATTTAAGAACGTCTTGCAATTTAGAACTATATCTTTTAATTTCTTTAATCTCTTGTGCATAAGCTTTGACAATTCTTATGTTACTAATTTTTTCTTCTGCCTCTGTATTTAATACTGCCAAACTATCTTGCACATTTCTTGAGATTTTCTTTAAGAAACGTCCATAAATAATAGCTGTACCAGCAACAACAGGTACCACTGATAAACCAACAAGAGCTAACGGTGGAGAAACATAGAACATCATTGATATTCCACTTGTTGTCATAATTAAAGATCTTAATCCATCTGATACATTACTAGTAATTGCAGAACTTACTAATTGAGCATCTCCTATAAATAACATGATAAATGTCAAAATAAAATGATATGTTATGTTGTAATTGATAATAATAAAATGTTTTAATTAAAAGGATAATTTTCTAATGCGTATTTTTTATATGCCATAAAATGTATATAAAAAAAAAAGATAAAAATGTAATAAAAAAAAAAGATAAAAAACAGAGTATATATATATAAAAAGTTTACCAGTTAATCTTCCAACAAGTTCTCCTGTATTTTTTATATCAAACAATGCTGTCTCTTGACTGAGGATGGCTGTGTATGCTTTTTTCCTTAAAGAGTACGTAATTTTATGGCCTGTGGTTGACATTAGATAGACACGACAAAAATTACTGAAAGCACCAATAATAAATACCCCCAGTAACACGAGACATAATTGATTTAATTTTTCTGTCATATTTTCTACATTCACATTATAAATAGTATCAATTACTTTTCCTAGGCTAAAAGGAACTGCCATTGTTACACTAGATGATACTATTAAGAAAGCAATAGCACCAAATAACCTCCATTTTTCAGGTGCCGCTAAAATAATCAATTTTTTAAGATCTGATTCTTTTTTTGTTTTTAATATCTCTTTTGTATGGATATCTCGAACATTCGTTTTTAAAAATTTTCTTGTTTGCCATCGTAAACCAGTTAAAGGACATGTTTTTCTTGATACACTTTTTGATGAGATCCAAATCGTATGTAAATATTTTTGCCATGTAGGAGTATAAAAATGTGTAAGTTTATGATAATTAATATTAGCTGCAAGAAATTTGCAAAGAATGGTCATCTCTTTGAATTTATCTTGAAAACTTGAACGACGTAACTTCACATACAGTCATTTATAGTAAGAATTTTAAGATTCATTTGAAAATTAGATAACCTTAAAATTAATTTCTATTTCTACTATTATTTTAACTTCATTTTTATCTATTTTTACGTAAGCATTCATTTTACTTGAAACGTATATTCATAAATATTATACATATGTTAATTAAGAACGTACTTTTTGTCGATGAGTTACTCAATGATAAGATATTTTAATCAATTGATCAGCTGTTTTAGCACGTGATAAGTAAAAATACGTATTTTATTTAAAGAATATTTCAATTAATGATTATTTAACAATAACTGATAACAATCAATAGCAAATAATTAATAAAAAATTACGCGTTAACTATAACGCGAATTGCTTTAAAAAAAAGACCATCAAAATATTCTTATTAAATAATTATATTGCAGTGATATTAAATTAACATTATATATTTAATATTTTTCTAATTATAGACAGATACAGAATAATATATTCACAGGTACATTACATTTATTTTTTACTATAGCTTATGTTCATTAAAAAATAATACATATTCGAGACAATTGTCAATATTTGTTTATATTTCTTTGCAAAATTGAAGTGTTATTAAATCAGACATTTCTAAAGAAATATATTATACTCATTTATCTAATAATTATCTACATATGATTAAAAATTTTAATTCAATTTGTTAATAATTTATAATTTGATTATAAAAAATATAAGTGTTTAACATAAAATTTTATAAATATTATATTAATAGATATTTGTTACAAAAAAGATGTAGAGAGAATTTCATTTTGAACAAATTGCAATGAAATATTTTTAAAATGTGAATAATATATTTTAATCTTTTATTATTAAATACTAGAGGCTGTAAGTATTTATTTACAATAATAAGGAGAATATAAGGTTCTATACACATAAAACATCAGATACTTATATTTATTCATATCTGAGACATTATTTATCAATTATTGTTTCTCCCTTTCGTGATCGTTATTTGAACGATTTTTTACTTGCAATAATTATCTTGAAGGAAAACTTGAATTATTTTACGTTATATTAAATATAATTTATGTTAACAATATATACATTTATTAGTTCTTTAATCTAGGACGCAAAGGTTTTTGTGACTTACAGTTATATATAATTATAAGTACCTTTAATAAATTTTATACTTTGCTTATTATCGCAAGTCATTTGAATGTTTCTTAACAAAATATTGCAGTTTTGATAAAGGATTAATATCAATGTGGAAATGCTTAAATAATTCTGATCTTCTCAGAAAAATACTGATAAATTATAGAGAAGTAATATAGCAACGCGTATGCCTATTTAAAGTTAAGTACTATACAGGTAGTCTTTCTGAATTAAATTTTATCCTAAAATAAAGTTTGTCGTAGCTTTACAAAGTAGTCACATTTATAGATAACTGTTTTAATCATGTCAGCATATTAAAATAAATATCTTCTATACTATGTTTATATGATATAACATAATACATGTATTAACATGAATGTAATGGTATGGAACTATATTAGAATACGGTGCATATATATACACCGTATGATTTTTTTTCTATCTCTCATTGTTTTCTCATGAGCGAGTCATATTCCTATCTAATGATGTACAATTAAAAGAATGTATTTAATCACTGAAAGCAGATTCTTAGTTGGTAATAATTCCATTTACTATAACATAAATATATATATATATATTTAGAATAGAATTCTAGATATATATATATAGAATTTAATATATATGTCATCTGTGTAAGCTCTGCATTCAATTAATTACTTTCCACATTTATTGAAATTCATCATCGCTACTCAATAACATAGTTTTTTCATTATAATTTTGTGAGATAGTTGCAACTCGTTGATGAGAAGTATTACGTCTTTGTGGTGGTGGTACCGGCATATTTTGTGGATCATCAGGATCAAAGCTGGATACTCGCATACCACGTTGCCCCTTCGGTCCTCCTATTTGTTACATTATGTCACATATTATCACAGACAAAATTATGCCTGTTTGAGTTAATAATACATATTTTGCAAAATATTTAGTATAGATTAAAAATTATTAATAACAATTATAATGAGTACCAGTTTGTTTAAATTCTTAAATTATTTTATAGCTATATTTAATTTATAAATTTTAATCTTAAAATAAAGAAAAAAATTTGCAGAAATAATGACAATATTTATTTGCAAAAATATCATGCAGATTGTTGCAAGACAAATCGATAATTTCAAGCCACTACATTTATAATGGAAATATGACAAAAATATAAAAATAGTACATTCAAATAAACTAGACGAAATTGTATGTTTGCATGCTGAATAAACTTGCACCCATATTTTCATGCCATATCATCATCTTACATCATCTATATCTTATTATTCTGGCTTTGAATTTAATTTTTATGTTATTGAAAAAAAAAAAAAAATACATCAGCTGTTATGTATAATTTTCATTTATTTAAAAGCAACATATATAAGTACACCATTTTTCTAAGTGCTTTTGTGTTAAGTGCTTAAGTTCTATTTTACAGAAGAGATTGATTGTTAATCATGAAATCAATGAATCATGCCTATCTATGCATGTTGACAATGTTTTGATACAACTAATAATATTTTAAGCAGAGAGAGCTGACCTTTAACTCTGTAAATAGATTTTCGTTTAAATCATTAAATAAATACGTATTATTAATATAGAAAAATGTTTTGTTATATTATATATAATGTTCAATCTTCATTTAAACTTGCATAAAGCCCAATGTCCAATTTCTTGTAATTAAAAAAATGATGGCTCACTGTGTCATAGTTTTTCATACGGCAAGTTGGTATTAACGTCTGAAAAATAGCAAATAAAGTGCCATCAACAAAGCTGAATCTAAAACATTAGCGCAAATCAAAAGAAGCTGGAACTAATGATTTTTTTTTTTTTATTAGCAAAATGGCATAGCATACTTTATTCCCATTTTTTCCAATGAATGTTAGTTAAATATTTTATTTACATACAATATCGTTCGATATGTTTGAATGATTTCGTATTATTCAATGTTTAAATCGAGTTGCGATTATGGATAAGATTCAAGTTTTATATAAAAACTAAAATTAAATTAATGTGATGACTGCATTATTTAAGCTATATTATGTTGATAATAATTCGTTGCATTTAGCATGAACACATTTTCAATTCTAACATTCACATCCATCTTATGTCATATGTAACCATATAATTTATATATAATTACATTGAATATAAATTTATAGAAAATTAAAAACATAGATAAATTATGGAACATGATTTCAGATTAATTACTACATCATGCTATAAAAAATTAAGGCAGCTTACATTGATAATATTGCTTAATTAGTTGAAAATATTTTTTTAAATAACACATAGTGCAATCATCTATAATAAAATATGACATACCAGAGCTGTACTGCGTATACTGTTGGTATTGTGGATGAAAGTTGTGGATGGCATCAGTCATTATGTCTTTTGGATTCATAGTTTCCTAAACAATTTATTTGACATATTGTTATGATAATATTAATTTTCAAGATCTATATAACATAGTACTGTTACATACTTTCAAACTGCTACTAATACTTTGCATTGTCACGCTTCTTCCTCTAGAGTCAGTAACACAACCAGCTGAATATACTTGGTAAGGAAATGCATAGCGCAATGCAATAGCAGCAAACAACATTTCAATGCAAATTAGAAAATTCTGATAACCAGCAGAAACGGTACCAGCGCTTGTTGATTGACCTAAGCTGTCTATTACTGGTGAAATTACATTTGCTTTTTCAAGAATGGCCAACAACACTCCTAGAAATAAGATAATAGAATAATAATTAGTATAATATTGATTGTAAGAAAATATTAATAAAGAAAAGATAAGAAAAAAATTACCTTGCCAAAATGATAAGAAAATGACACTTTTGACAGTACAAAATTTTAAAACTGGTTCAAACGGAGTGAGCAGTTCTCTTGTCGCAAAGTAAAAGAGAAAAAGTCCATAAAGAGCAAGAGATACACTGATATTATAAATCATTGTTATATAAATATAGCCACCATCTGGAGACCAATCTCCATCTCTATAATGGCCAAATGCTTGAAGAAATATAATGACAAAAGCCATTACAGGCTTGACCAAGCAGAATTGTAAAGTTGCTTGTTTACAAAATCTCAAGAAACCAATAGTATAAGTCTTTCCAACTAGGCAGCATGTTCCGTACAAACAATTGGAACGTATTGGTTTTCCCCTTATTTCGGACATAATGTTCCCTTCACCACCCAGGTACTCGTAGCATAAGGACAAAAAGTTATATATAACAAATGCTTCATAACAGTCTCGTACGGTAAAGAAATAAACATAATAGCTTCCGCTATTGAAAAATAATAGGGACACCCAAGAATAAGTAGCATAAATTGGCACGATGAAAAGTATTCTGACTATCCATCGTTGTTCCGTGGGATTGGTATACCATCTTAAATGTTGATAAATCTAAAAAGGATCGAAATATTGATAAGAGGATCAACGTATAAACGAATTATCTTTCTAACGTTAAAAACATACCTGTTGGCAAGTTAAAAAAAGAGCTAGCCAGACAAAAATACCGGCTATGCCCTGAGCAGTTCGAGTTTGCAAGAAAATAGGTGTCGCTTCCTTGGTAAAGTTAGTTTTGAAATTTTTAATGACATTGGTCATCATATTGTCAATCACCGAGACCGCGATCGTTGATGCCTCCGTTTCGAACGTACTATTCATAGTATGATCTGGGGACGATCGATTTTATATATGTATGTCACATTTCAAGAACGTATTATTTTCGAAAAGAAAAATGATCGTCAATCGTTTAACGATTTAAATAACGTGTACATCTGTTATGTATGTATGTATATATGTATGTATATATGTTAATATATGTATATATATATATGTATGTATGTATGTATGTATGTATATATGTATGTATGTATGTATATATGTATGTATGTATGTATGTATGTACGTATGTATGTATGTATGTACGTATGTATGTACGTATGTATGTATGTATGTATGTATGTATGTATGTATGTATGTATGTACGTATGTACGTAATAGAGAAAGAAAAAAGAGAAAGGAAAAC